TTTTCTTTGTTCTGAATATTTTTGCATATATAGTCTTTTTAATAGTACTGTCTACCTGCCGGCAACCAAAAAGCACACACTTTTTGCAACTTTATTCATTCCAAAATATTTTTGTTGTTCTAGAACATATAAGTTTTTGAACGAGCATTTATTGTGCAAAATTCATATGCCACAATGAGCGATTTTTTTTTCAAACTGACAAAAAAATCTTCCCAAGACATATGAAAAATAACCATTTCGCGGAAACAAAAGAGCTAACCCTATCGCGTTAATACAGGCTGACGTGGTGACTTAGTGGTTGTCGTTGTCTTACGGGGCTGCTAATTACGAAGGCGTGGATTCCATTCCGCCCTTGCATGATGGTCGTATTTGGATGGAAGCGAAATGCTCGACGCACTTGTCCTTTGTGATACCAGTGCCTTAATGTTTCTTAAAGTACCTCAGGTGGTCGTACTTATCCTAAGCTCTCCGCTACGCCATACCTCATAGCCAAAGTCGCTTTCCAGACGTTATTCCCCGTAAACCCACGTCATAAAGCTAACACTGCATTGGAGTGGAGAGTAACTGTTTATGATCACGAGGTAAAGGGTCTGAGGAAATTTCGTGAGGCCACGAAGAATAATTGGTGAAAACATTGAACAGACGCCGGCCACAGGGAAAATATTTTTACTGACGGTTCGGCCACCCCCGTAAGGGAGCTTCGTTCACAATGAAGTGTCGTTTAGATGGGATCCTTGCTCGCAACTCTTTACGGTCTTCTATGCTTACGATCATGGGTGACAGGGAAGTGTTGACTTGTAAAAAGCTTGATTAAGTCGGCAATCTTTCGTAGCAGGGCATTGACTCTCCAGTGCTGTGGTGGTATTTTCGTGCACCACCTTCGGAAAACAAAGCTAGACAGATACACGGACGGACGGACGGACAGACGGACGGACGGACGGGCAGGCAGGCAGGCAGGCAGGCAGGCAGGCAGGCAGGCAGGCAGATAGATAGATAGATAGATAGATAGATAGATAGATAGATAGATAGATAGATAGATAGATAGATAGATAAATAGATAGATAGATAGATAGATAGATAGATAGATAGATAGATAGATAGATAGATAGATAGATAGATAGATAGATAGATAGATAGATAGATAGGAAAGGCGTGTTTACGAGCTCGAAACGCCAGGCAGAGTGGCTGAGTACGCGAGTTATAGTGAAATTAAGGTGATGTTCACCTTGTCCGGGTAAATCGTATGTGGAGCTTTTAATATTGTTGTTGTTGAGCACTCTCTGCTATATGCGCATGGGACAAGATAGCGAAAGTCGGTAAAGTATAACGCACGCTCTCATAGCTGCGACGGCCGTACCATTTATCTTTATTATAGGCATTCACATGCGTGAGCGGCTGCTCTTTTTCTTCTTTTGCCGCTTTTCCATCCTGACTATAACAGCGTTCAGGCGCACCGTATATCTCGGTAAATTACGCAAGCAGCCAACGCAAGCCACGCTTTTCTGACGCCTTGGAGAGAAGTATTTCAAAAGTGGGTGCTAGACATTGCATAATTTATCGGAGCACAAAGTGCCCCGTATAAACGCCCCGCCTCATGTTCAAATTTTTTCGTTCATGGCCTCTCGGGTAGCTTGGTAACTAACAGATATACGTTGGCCGCGGTCATCGCTCTGCTCTTTCGCCAGATGATCGACGTTGACATAGTTGATGTAGCACTTGTGTTGGTATTTTTTAAGTAAAGCTTTCATGAGTTATAAATTTCGGTGGCAACAGCGGCATAGCGCCATGAAAGCCCGGTGGCGGTAAGTGGTGAAAAGTGCAAGTGCATACAAAAAGGGCCCTCGAAGGAGTGCCTGTCGCGTGCGTATCGGCATACGCTGTTTTGAAATGAAAGTGGTTTATGCCGGGGTCCACCATAGCTTTACTGACGTATTTCCATCATGGATATGGTCTTGTGAAATATTTATTAACAGAGTGAAAAAAAAAAACGAAGATGAATAGGTCTGTCACGGGGCGTTGAACCAGCTACCTCGTGATCTCTAGCGCGTGCCGCCAACCCACGGAATGTACGTTTCCAAGAATGTGAACGGCAAGCCATTTATGCACACCATACACAGTTTGTCAGTCCTCAGAGCTCCGCAACTTCAACGCGTTTTTGTGATCAGTAGTGAGATGGCGTGACGGGCTCGTGTTTCGCGCGGTCGTCACCTCTCGCGTTTCTACGAGCTTCCTCCTCGACTGAGCGGGGATCGCTCCTGCGCGTGTGCTTATTAGACTTTTGATTCGGGAGAGCACAAACGTCATTTATCTTCCTGCCGCGTTTACGAGAGAAGCACGCTGCTCGGAAGTAAGAATTGGGGCAGTTGTTCGCACTCGTCTTGCGTACAGCGGTGAGCACTGTTTGGGTGAACACGCGAGCGCGTGGCCGACGGCACTGTCAGCGACCCGTTACGGTCATCACTGGAAACATTGCGCATGCGCATCACGCCTTCCACGAAATAGTTGTTCCACCACGCGCATGACGTCATGAATGCACTTGTTCGTCGTCTGCTAGCCGCATTTTTGTTTTCTAAGCCCATGCATCCTGCCTTCTAAGATTTCTTTAAACATCTGTGCTTGAACAGAACAAGACAAAAAAATTTGTATATTTATGGGGGGCGTGTCGGTTCGTTCCCTCCAGAGTTACTATGCATGCAACGCCGTATATAAAACAACCAAACATCTTTTGCAGTTGTTCATTTTGTCGCCACATCGTATTATGGCTATGGTTCCTGATGATTACCGGCGCTCAATTGTCGATCTTTCCCTGAAAGGTTATTCCCAGCGGTATATTGGTGCTTCAGTTAGTAGGCCCCTGAAGACTGTGAACAGGATAATTCAAGCCTACAAGTATGAAGGTTGTATTCAGGATGCACCCCGCGCGCCCCGCCCTAAAGCTACCACAGACGATGAAGACGCCCTCATTGTTGCAGCTGCTGTTCGTAACCCTTTGTTGCCAGCCCCAGCAATACGCGAGGACTTGGATTTGGATGTTTCGGACGCCACTGTTCGACTTCGCCTGCGTACTGCGGGCCTTCGCAGTCACGTCGCAGCGCAAAAGCCACTTACTAACGGCGGCACACAAGGACGCACGACGGCAGTTCACTGAGTTGCACGAAGCATGGACATCTGAAGAGTGAGGTCGTGTCATCTTTTCGGATAAGTCGATGTTTTCGACGCGACAAGACCAAAGATTGCGTGTTTGGAGACTACCAGGCACACGGTGAGGCAAACTTCCTGCTCTGAAAAGCAATTGTTTTAGTTAACGTCAAAATGCCACGCAGGAACGACCCAGACAGCGTGCAAGGTGTTTCTGCCAGTGGGAGATTGAGTGTGAGCGTGTGGGGTGCTGTTTCAAGATATGGTTTAGGGCCCCTGCAACGTATACGTGGACACTTATCGTCGGACCAATACTGCAACATTTTCAGCAATGTGCTGTTGCCATATGCGAGCAGTTCATTCCCAGACGGTGATTACCTGTTCCAACAGGACCGGTCACCGTCACACATGGCGCGGGCTGTCAAGGAGTTCCAGGCGGAGCAGCACACGCAGCTACTGGAATGGCCTCCGAAAGGAGCAGACCTGAATGTGATAGAAAACGTGTGGGGCCGTCTCAAAGCTTCTTTGGCAAGGAAGCCCCTTTATTCAGCGACTTCGGACCAGTTGTGGGCGCAAGTCAGCAACGAGTGGGAAAGGCTAAAAGTCGATCGGGATTATGTTCGATCACTTTACGACTCGTTACCGTCCAGAATAGCTGCAGTCGTTGCTGTAAGTGGTCACATGACTCGCTATTAGATTTGCTCATGTTTTTATATATGTTCTCATGGTCTTGTTTAACTTGAATTGCAAAAGTGCAATTTTCTTGAATAAAAAGTTTAATGATTATCGCTCTTACACTCACTTTTTTCCTTCACGCGCCAATCTTCAATCCAGATGGACTTTGAAATGCAGAAGGTACCAGCTCAGCGAACGAAAAATGCGGCTAGGAGACGACGAACAATCGTATCGATGACGTGATGCGCGCGCTGGAAAGAGTGTTTCGCAAAGCACATGCTGCGCATGTGCAATGTTTCCAACGATGGCTGTTACATGGCGCTGATAGTGCCGTCGGCCACGCGCTCGCGTGTTCACCCTAACAGTGCTCACCACTGTACATTTGTGCGTTCGTTTCATGCGTCTTTCTGTGTGAACAGCGCGCTTCAAGTGTCGAGCTGCGACAGTTGTTAGTCCACGCTCGTCCCGTGTTCTCATTTCGTGCGTGCTTTCTACTTGAGGAGCGCCCTGCAAGTTTCAAGCTGCTTCCCATTCTTCGCATGACTTCGCGATTTGTTACTGTAGCATTCATTCGTTCGCCCTTGTGTTCAAAACAACACACAATAAGCGCTTAACTACGTCTGTGAAGACACGTTTACACTTTCGTGTTATAACGATTCCTAGAAAAGAGGGATGGGCCTTGTTTTTTCGATGACTGAAGCTATCGCGATCATGGAGTTGTTGGCGATCAACCGTTCTCACGTATGACAATCTGATCTTTTATCAAAGTAACTCGTCATTTCAGGCTGCCATATTTTTTTGTCGTCTTTCATTGTTTCACGCATGATCACCGTCGTAGCTTGTTGCGGCAGAGGTATGCAGAGGTAAAGCTTTCCTGCTAAGCATAGGGGATGAAAGGTTCGATACCCGGCATAGAGGAATGAGAGAGTTAGATGCGAGCATTGGGCAATAGAAAACAAATAAACAAACAAACAGATAAATAAATAAAACAAGCCAAAAAAATCTGGAACAGTACGCCAGGCACACACACGGCAAGCTTCGTTTGCGTTTAATTTCCTGATAGGGTAAGGGCGCTTAATTTTAAAAATTACAAACCCCGTACCCATCTTACTGCGTTGTAATAAACTTTTCACGCATGTATTATAAAACAAACAAGCAAGCAAACAAAAAAAAAAACATCGTTGCAGAGCCCGTGGGACCACCGGGAGGTGTAGCGGTGCTCGACAAACTGGTTCTATGGAGGCCACCACCCAAAGACTACCACCTCGAAGAACTGCGTTCCATCGACAGGTGGGCCAACATTTGTACTTAAAACGATGGTCGCGATTACGCTGTCGCGCGTACTGCAGCCTTCTTTTTTTTGCGTGAAGAATAAGACGACGAAGAAGCACATTGTTTCTGACGAAGTCTTTCGACGAAGTTTGCGGATCGGAGGTTCCACTAGTGCCTCATCAAAGAAATCTCCAATCTTTATCAAAACGTTGCATGCTTCTCCCCCCCCCCCCCCCCCTACGTTTCAGGTTAGTGGAGCTAGAACACCCTTTCGTATATGCTTCGCCCCTTCCAAATTTTATTAAACAAATGCTTCATTGACAGCAATGTATTGCCAAACACGAAAAAAAGATATTTGGAAACGAAGATCCAGTGTAAATAAAGTTCAAACGTTCACTGTTAAAAGTTTACTGTTGACGAGCTAGAGCGCGAAATTAACGAAGCTTTTCATATTAAGACGGAAGGGAACATGTGCGTCAGTGAGCCTTCACTCGCCCTGCTGTAAAAAAAGATAGTCTGCTGTAAAAAGAGATAGTTTTTTAGAGTGGTTAACTTGTACATTTTGACTCGTGGCAGATTCGTTTTCGCCTTTCACTCTTATATGCACGTGATGGTTCTTGTTTTCTGTTTTCAGCTATTATACTTCCAGCTGTAGTAAATTTACACACAGCTTTTCGTCAGCGCATGTGTCGTGTGTCCAATTTTTCTCCGTCCCGTTTTTTTTTTGCGCTGTTTCCCTCCATTGACTGCATGTTTCGTAAACTATTGTTCATGTCACGATCACTGCTGCTGCTTCAATCAAAAAATAAAAGCTGATCACTGAATCTGAAATTTACTCAAAGGGCTTTTAATATTAGATTGTTTAAACAATGGCGTTTCAGTCACTGCGATCATACTCAACTGCGTCTTAGTGGTTTTTGGATAACACACTTTTATTAAAAATGAGCTTGAGAGCGTTCTGCCCTCGCTTTCGAGCGTACTCGTTTCACGTGCCTCCGCGCTCTTCATCTTGCTTGATTTCTTCAGCCAGCTCGAAACGTGCAAATGATCAACCAGACGATGAGCTACTCTGACATTTGTGATGAGCATGCAACGTGCCTCTATGAATTGTTTCCCTTTATTACTTGCTTATGTACATTATACAATGATAATGCAGGGCATAAAGAGACATACAGAGGTAACGAACGGAATGGTTGCATAGTGACTAGAATTAATTTATGCGGCTAAGTGGCTCAAGTTGTTCGAGCCACTCTGAAACTGGGTCTTGAATTTTACAATCTTCAATAAAGTGTGTGATTATTTAGCGGAAATATTCACCAATGAGCAGGGTATTGATGTCAACATGGAAGACTGCCATATACTCTTTCCAAATACTGTGAAGACCGAGCAACATACCAGTATCGTAAGGTGCTCCGTCGCATTCTAAATTAACTGGTTAGAACCTTATCCTGTAGAGGCATCAATCAGTAAATCTTTTAAATGCGAAGCATTTCTTAGCGAACTTAGGCAACTTTGAGCGTATCTACTATCTATCTATCTACTATCTATCTATCTATCTATCTATCTATCTATCTATCTATCTATCTATCTATCTCTCGATCTATCTATCTATTCTATCTATCTATCTATCTAATCTATCTATCTACTACTATCTATCTATCTATCTATGCTATCTATCTATCTATCTATCTATCTATCTATCTATCTATCTATCTATCTATATCTATTACTAGTCTATTATCTATCCTATCCTTATCTATCTATCTATCTATCTAGCTATCTCATCTAGTCTATCTATCTATCTATCTTCTCATCTATCTATCTATCTATCTATCTATCTACTCTAGTCTATCTACTATCTTCTGTCTAGTCTATCATATCTATTCTATCTATCTATCTATCTATCTATCTATCTATCTATCTATCTATCTATCTATCTATCTATCTATCTATCTATCTAATCTATCTATCTATCTATCTATCTATCTATCATCTATCTATCTATCTATCTATCTATCTATCTATCTATCTATCTATCTATCTATCTATCTATCTATCTATCTATCTATCTATCTATCTATCTATCTATCTATCTATCTATCTATCTATCTATCTATCTATCTATATCTATCTATCTATCTATCTATCTATCTATCTATCTATCTATCTATCTATCTATCTAGCCGCCCACGACTTTTAGCTCTCCTAAACGTTTCGTTAATGGTATCGATTCCAAATTTGGAAGGGCATAACATACATAACTATATGAAGAGCATCATCGACTAGTCATAACATGGCTATCATTGCATGTATGTCGTGAATGTAATGATTTACATTTCATGGTCTTCCTGCTCTTGTGCTGGTTTCGTTCACATGACATGTTGCAAATTTTTATGGTATAACGTGACTGCATCGCGAACACAAGTGACAAACTTTAACGTGGAAATCATGACATGAATGTCATGTGAGTCATGAGTCATGACTACACGCCACGCTCATGGTGCGTCCGCGGTCGCTTCGCTAGCTTACATATACTAAATTTGATATTATGGCACGTGAATGCATGACGAAGGTATATTACTAGTACAAACATGACATACATGAGATGCGTGTCATGTTGGAACATGACAACATAGTACGCTCATGGCCGTTTCGCTCGTTCTACATATAATAAATTTGGTATTACGTGACGTGTATGAATCGCGAAGTAAATGGCACGTCCAAACATAGTAATCATAACATGCGTGTCATGTTTATGATTGATTGATATGTGGGGTTTAACGTCTCAAAACCACCATATGATTATGAGAGACGCGGTAGTGGGGGGGCTCCGGAAATTTCGACCACCTGTGGTTGTTTAACGTGTACCCAAATCTGAGTACACGGGCCTACAACTTTTCCGCCTCCATCGGAAATGCAGCCGCCACAGCCGGGGTTTGATCCCGCGACCTGCGGGTCAGCAGCCGAGTACCTCAGCCCCTAGACCACCGTGGCGGGGCAGACATGTTCGATTGTTCCAGGTTCACGACAGAGAAAACAGTGCATTCCCCACGGTAACAGGCAGTCCCTTATCTTGAATTCACGTTTTCACTTCTAGAGTCCCTGTACGGAGCTCAAAGAAAAATAACTTTGAAGTAGATGGGACCACTATTTTTTTTTACTTGGGCTAGTACATTTTCGCCACGTCCAGCAGGGTACAAACTCCTGTAAAGTGGTACTGGTAAAGGAATGTCGAAAAGGTCTCTATGCAGCCTTTTTCGTTTTACTCCCGCTAGATATTCGCTGGAAAAATGGGCCAATAAATATTGCATTCACTGACGACTTCTTTTGAATAACTATAAAGTGCCCCATGCACATAGTCCAAGGTGACAACGAGTGAAGGTAGAAATTCTTCCGAGCCTCAGCTGAATAACTGCACGTAGAAACGCGTTTCTTGTGTCTCGCAGAAACATAAAACGACTAACGACCTGTCTTAAAAACAAATGTGACAGACTGAGACCACCGAACCGAACATGACGAAAAAGATTATACGACTAGAGCGCTTCCACACTGATCTTCATACTAAATACTGCAAACATACGGTGCAGCTTCTGCACGTTTATGCGCGAGCAATGTGAAACCTGTATGTGTACCAAAGTTTAGAGACCAAGAAAATGATTACATATGGTGGCCCGCGTGAAAACCGAAAAGTTTCATCCTATATCTTTATCTACTTTTTCACGCATTTCAGTGGCTTGCTGCGCCAGTACGGCACACTGTCGCAATAAAATTCTAGTGGCTACAACCAAATATTTCGCAGGCTGATTCACCCATTGCGTGTTGGCAAAAACGTCTGAAGTGGAAGGCCAATACCCTTGCCAATAACCCAAACATTTTTCCTAGTTTACCGAACTCCCACTGGCCGTGCAAAACTGTTTTGCAATATGAACTACTTCGTTAGCACTGTCGCGATCTGAACAGAAAAGTGCCACATCTTCAGCATAGAGACACGATTACTTGCAACGTGCCTCTATGAAGTGACGTGTTACACCGTGTTCCATGGATAAAAGTTTAACCGAAATGGGTGCTTGTGAAAGTGCCAGAGTAATGTGAACTCTTACCATCGAACTGTTCATTGACATGTTATCTTCTTTAGTTGTTTTGGTTTACTAATTGTCTTCCTTTCTTTCTGAGTTACTTTATTTTAACCATTCGTCCTCTTATCGTTTTTTCTTGCATAAGAGTATAAAAAAGTGTGGCCGAAGTGTTATATGCCTGCAAGTCTTCACGCAATCAGGTTACAAGAAAAAAAACAACAGATAAGCAGGATGATGCTGAACACCTTAATAATTAGGAAGATCACTGAAGCAACACCTTGTGCTTTCTGCAGAAGCCCTTTCTGCGAAATTCAAGGTTCATAATAGCAGGCCTAATACGTATTCCTTCCAAAGCGTCTAATGTGTGCTTTATACTGCCCAAGCTCTTATAGATAACCTTTGGTGGTTGTTAAGCGTGACATTCATTGAACAATTTTTTTTTCTTTTGCGCAGGGACGCGGAGACCGTCCGCTCAGTGCTGGCCGAGATGCAAGAGTTCATGCCCCACGAAAGTAACTGTAAGTCTACACAGCGGTCGAGCGCATCAGTTCTGTTTATAAGAAATAATCAATCAATTTTGCTGTTGACGTCGACAATAGTCAACATGATTTAATAATGAACTACAGAGCTTATGATTATACTTGAACTAATCAGTGCACAAGTTTAGGTCACTTGATAACAAAAACAAAAAAACACAATAGGCTATGATGCAACTGTTGTCTCTGGGCATCTCGTGTGTCATTTTTGTTTTGAAAGGCCGTTGCATATATGAGTACTTGTTTGTATTTATCTAAATACAACATCTTTCAGTCACTTATTGTAGTTTACGAGTAACTAATGCAACTCCACACACAAAAACAGGACTTCTAAGTATTTATCTTTCTTCAGTTGAGGAGGATCTTCTCAGCCGAACTTCGTGAGCAGCGTTAACGGCGTTGTTCGCTTGCTTGATTGATACGCTTTCACGTCACCAACTCTTTTTTGCAAGGCTGTAGTCAGTAATATGTTTCGGGATTGGGCTCGCTTGTTGAGGGCCTTGAAAAACGCCTACTTTTTATTAGTTATCATTGTTAAAGCACCCCCTCCTCCGATTTCCGAAGGTGGGCGGGCCACATAAGTCTAGCCACTCGCCTGGTTGCGGAGCTGCTTATGCTGTTCTTCTACGAAAGACGCCTTGATCTTTTACAGTGGAACTGCTAAACCTTCGTATGAGACGGCGTTTGGACGTGTTTGGTTGTTCATCGTTAAGAAGGGACGGCGGACACGAGCACCAGCCGCGGGCGCTGGCTCGTTCAGTTGTTCCGTTTACCTTGGATGTAGCCAGACGATCGGGTCCGGATTTCTTTTGTTTCTTACACTTCGTTCCGGTGCCAAAACCTAACCGTTCGTCTGGATTTTGACTTCGACAATGGACTAACTCAGAGTACAGCGCGGCCTCTTCGGGGCACCCGTCACAAAGGTCATTTCAATGCTCGACGCCCTTCTGGTCGACTCAACGACTCCCACTTGCAGGCTCCAGGAGCTCCTCGCAATTATCGCCGCGAAAAACGCCCACTTAATGCACCTCGACAGAAAGATCCAGCCTTATCTTCACTACGAGGACTTAAGGCGGGCCTGATCACAGCCAGTGGCTTTGAGAACAAAGTCGTTTGTGCTCAAGACAGAGCTCGCCGCGCAATCGAGTCGTGGCCACCAAACCCACCAGCATCGGCCGCCCTCACCACCACTGCACTCCGTAAGCCTCGCACATTCAGATCGCAGCCCGCCTCGACATCGAAGCAGGCAGCTACTTCGTCTTCGTTCGGTCTGTCGACTGCTCTCGCTTCGACGTCGGAGCAGGCCGCAACTTCGCCTTCAACTGGCCTCTCGGCTCCACTCGCTTCGACGTCGCAACAGGCCACCACTTTGCCTGGGACCGGCCTCTCAGTTACTCTAGTGTTGTATTTAGAACATACAGAAACGATGCATCTGATGCCTTAACGCCATTCTCTTTATTCTCCGATCCCATGTGTTCATCCTCATATTCTTTTCTATATACACCATTTTCCCGGCTGATTAAAAAAAGAAACTATCGCTTGCGTAGCACATAATCCCTGAGCTTCAATGCAGCTTTTTTTTCATTCGTTGGCTCTTCCGTGATGGCTGGCCGGATATTTTGTTCTGCAATGAAGATGGTTCTCACTGCAGTGAAGATGGTTCGCTAGTTTGGATCCCTTGCCGTGGTGCAAACTCTCCAATGAATGAGTATTCGATTTGCAAGTGTTAGTGCGTATCTGCCTAGGACTGCCCCGATGCGCTTCTACTTGTGCCACAATCATGCTTGCCAAAGACCATCCGGTCAGGACATATATAGTTGTGGATTGCCTCAGAGCGCACATTCGACATGCTAGCCGTGTCCCCGACCACCACTTGGCCCTTCTACCTTCCGGAAGACCACGTGCTACGTTTTCAGACGTCATAGCCAAGCACCTAAACAGCATTCCATCAGGATATACGCCAGCTGTGAGAACGGCTTGTCCTTTGTGGTGCTTCGACCAGCCGCAAGTACGTCTAGAAATTCCGGGAATCAAAAAGAAAAGCAGTCACTCCAGAGTAGCATTGAAGCAAGCAACACTGCTATTATTACATGAGTTGTACTTAGACCGAACGCAGATATACACTGATGGGTCCGTCTCATCCAGCAGCTCATCAGGTGCCGCTGTAATTCCGGCTGCAGAAATGACAATCAAGTTTAAGTTGTCGCATATGACTACATCTACGGCATCAGAGCTTGCTGCTATAAGGGCTGCTTTACAATATCTCGTTCAAGAACCTCCAAGAAAATGGGTCATATTCTGTGATTCGAAGGCAGCGCTTCAGAGTTTGCAATCTGCCATGCGTAAGAGGAGTCATGACCAACTGGTACAAGAAATAAGACATTGCCATCGTGAAGCTCTAGCACGAGGGCATGATATTATATATCAATGGCTGCCTGGACATATCGGTATTACCGGAAATCAATTAGCCGATGATGCAGCCCGCTCAGCCCATAAAGAAACCCGTGTAGTCCCGATTCCTCTATCAAGGAATGATGCAGCAAGACAACTTTACTTGCTGGCTCGAGATCTCACACGCACGTTCTGTTCGTCTACCAGCTTCCAAAGGTGCCAATTTTATGAACTGGATCCTTCCCTCAAGCTAAAGCTACCATCACAACTTTCCCGCTCCGATGCGACACTGTTATGCCGCCTTTGGTTGGGTGTTGCATTTACAAAGGTGTACTCCTTTCGCATTGGTATGGCAGACACTCCTACATGCGACTACTGCGGAGCTGAAGAGACCATCGAACACGTCCTGTGCAGCTGCGCTTGCTACGACACACAGCGATGCCAGCTCCGGATGGTTTTGAATCGACTTGACCCCGGACCATTTTGTGTGCTGAAGATACTAGGACCTTGGGCATCTGCCTCAGTTGCGCAAAAAGCAACTAAAGCACTGCTACTTTACCTCAAATCAACAAACCTGAGCGACCGCCTGTAGACTGTGTGTGCTCCCCGACTGTGCTCGTGATTGTGTGTACCTTCTCATCTTTCTGCAACCTCTTTTCCCCCCTTTATCCTTTCCCCAGTGCAGGGTAGCAAACCGGATGTGCGTCTGGTTAACCTCCCTGCCTTTCCTTGCATCTTTATCTCTCTCTCTCTCTCTTGCCGTGGTGTACGTGGAAAGTCGTCGTGTCGTTCACTCGCAGGGGTGCTACCTTGAAAAGATTCGTCTGATGAGGGCAGATTCCCATTTATAATTCCAGGCCGATTGCTTATCAGCTTCTCCGTGGCTTCTGGGTGTACTGCTTGAAGTTTGGGAGAGTTCCGCATGCAACCGTCTTCCAAACTTAATGAGGCTAGCCTTCGTTGCTTAATAATTTTCTTCGGTTCCGAAAAGTGCGAGGATGTTTTCCTGTGAACAGATGGATTTCTCACACAGACATGGTCACCAATGGCAAAATTTTCTGTGCGAGCTCCACGACGGCAGTCAGTGTAAAGTTTGGAAGAAGCTTGTTTTTGTTGGACACGCTGATGCAGCCGTTTAATTGACTCGCAGCCGTTTAATTGACTCTGCTGGATCTTCGTCAAATGAAGAATCCGGTAATCCAACAATGCTTAAGCGAGTTCGTGCCAGTCATTCGTGCAGGAGAACGGCGGATGCCACTCCCGTTGTGGCATGAGATTTGTAGCGGTAGACGCCAAAATCGTCCGTCACGGCGACACGGATATCATGCCGCTCGTATACTGCCATCTGGACAACAGACTTGAGGGCTCTGTTGAATCTTTCTACAAGACCGTTTGCTTGCGGATGGTAGACAGAAGAAAAGTAGTGGTGTATGCTGCGTTCCCGAATGAACTCCTCAAATGGAGCTGAGCTGAATTGGGGTCCGTGATCCGAAACTATTTCATTCGGGTAGCCATAACGAGCAAATACTTCTAACAAGAAGTTCTTGACCGTCGCCGTAGAAACTTGTCTCGAAAAAAAAAACACTTCTGGTAATTTCTTGTGATAATTAGCAAGCGTCGCCACATAACGGCAATTGAAGGAAGCTTGTTCAAATGGGGCAAATAATATCAATGGCGAGTGTCCCCTCAGGTTTGTCAGGAAAAGTTACTGGCTGCATAGGGGCTGGATTAGGCCGTGCAGATTTGTCACATGACTGGCAAACAAGACATGTTTTAACCAGTTCTTCTACATGACCATCCAATCGAGGCCACCAGTAGATCTCTCGCAGTTTACTTTTCGTACGACTGATCCCCGGATGCGATTCATGCGTGACTTCCATCAAACGACGAGTAGGCTACTTGGAACTACGATCCTTTCACCTCGGTAAAGCAAGTTGTGGAAAATCAATAGTTCGGCATGCACAAGAAAATGTGGCATTAGCACCGTTTCCAGAGATTTTTTTTTTCAGGTCAAGATGACGAAACGAAGTCCATGCTTTTGTGATTATCTTGTCAGATGCACTCGCTGCTTGTAATTCTGCCAGGGTTAACATTGGAGAAAGCTGGCGAAACAAATTGATTCGCTAGTGACCTGACCAATATCTCCGTGTAAATGCAGGCGAAAGAGTGCATCAGCCACCATATTATCACTTCCCTTGTGGTACACTACAGTGTAGTTAGCACAGCAGTCGCGCTGACCGATGTGAAATGCGCAATGGCTGATGTCCAACACATTTAGTAGACAGAAAGGTAACAAGGGCACTATGGTCAGTTCAGCAGAACGAAAGGGGCGACCCCGAAGGTACACGTGCCAGTGTTCGACTAAGTCCAAACTCGTGCTCCAGACTTTGTGTTCACATGCAGAATATTTCCGTCCTTATGGGCTCAAAATGTCCAGGAGGTAAAGGCAAACGTCTGTAGAATTCTCTTGCTCTCTTGTTGAAGCACAGTGCCTAGCCCATATTCAGAGGCATCAGTCGTGACGATGACGGAAAGGTTCAGATCAAAGAAATGTAGAACCTTGCAAGTTGTCAGCAGCGATTTCAAATAAA